ACTTCGACCTTAAAAGAGGAAAGCTAACAAAAAATGGGGAAGAAAAATCAAAGCAAACGCAAGAGAAGATGAAAACATTCACGTACATCTCGCCAGTTTGTAGATTGCCAAGCGTTGTTTTCCAATACCAACGTTTTAAAAGAATTAACCTTATGATCAGCTCGTCGCCTCTTCTGAAACTCAAAGACATGCCCCACGAACTTATTAGCAAAACTGCAAACAGTGCCAACACTCACAATATCTTCGAAAATTTCTTTAATTGCTGAAACAGATAAAATTATCATGAACGGCACCGCTGTTGTGTACCGTCCAGTTGGGCTAACATCAGGAATTTGCTGAAACGATGAAACGGTCGCACTAATAATTTTTAGAGAAAACGATTTGGACAAAACAAACAAATTGAAATGGAATCCTCACCTGAAGTAAGGCTATCGTTAAAAAGAATATATTATTATAGCGACGAAATTGTTCATAAAGAAATCGTGGGAGGAATGATGCGACGTTATATTTACAAGTACTGAAACAAAAATACAGGTTATAGGATACGAAAAGAACGGGATGATATAGCAAGCTAACCTTATTCTATTGGAACAAAATCTCGTTTTTTGCACTGCTCCGCTACCACAGAGGTTAATGCGACGAACATCAGTATTACGGTTACGCACACTTTCCGACGACGACATTTCTTCTGAAATTGTCAAATAAACATCAATAGCATAGTGAATTCATCCCGATCTGTTATTCAAAAACTGTTGCAGCTAACTAGACAATGTTACTGAAAATTATCCCATTCTCACTGGAAAGGTGATACCGCGGTGTAACCAATGACACCGACCAGACGCTAACGCTTGAACCGGATTTATTTGAACGCGAAACGCGATCGGTGATACACCTGACCTTCAAACATAGCGACTTCTTAGCGCGCTACATTGTGAACTCAAAAGCAACACCTCATGTCAAATTGCAATTCCTATATAACAACATAAGACGCATCACATGGTGGGGGTGGAGACACTAAGCATAAATGCAGAAGGAACTTCAAAACCCAGTCCCGTCTCTTCAAGCTGATGAGAACGAGTTCTATATGATGTGAGCACTCTTGCAATTGCTGTGGTCACTACCTAGTTTCCAAGGGTATGCTATGTGAAATTCACCACCGTCGAACATAGAGGAGGTATAAGTTTGCTGACGAGCATTACGGACCCAAATGACTGAGACATAGAGTAATGCACTTATAGTACATGTTACGCATACATATAATCCTCCTATAATATAAAATATTAATTTAGTTTGCAGCTTGTATGTCGGCATGTTTGTGCGGTCCTGAATAAAGGCGGCTTATGGAATGAAATGACGGCTAACAAGACTGGAAAGCTCCCAGGTCTTGACATCAAGACTTCGCAAAGGCATTACGTCCAACGGCTGCGCATAAATCCATTGAGCACACTAGGCCGCTCCACATAGTGCTGCAGAGGCAGCTGGAGGACAGAGTAGGGAGAAGAAAAGGAGGAGGAGACCAGCCGCTAACAACACTAACGGTCAAAGATTGTGGTATGACCCTTCACTAAACACAAGAGCTTTTCGTGCGCACGCATCTCCTACAAAAAGTGGTGCTTCACCTGTGGAAAGCCAAGCCAAGAGCGCGTCTAAGCATCAAGCCTGCCAACTCAATTGTGGTTAAGTAATACCGCCCGATAAATGAAGGCGAAAATGAGGTCGCCGAAAAGAGGTTTTTTTTTTGATCGTAGCGCGCATCAACAGCTATCTTTCGACTTATATATCTTATCTTGAAGTGCCAAGCCGTACGTCGTAGCAGTGCTCACGGGCACGAAGTTATTACGTATCTCGTCCATTAGCTCACATTTACTCTCATTAGCTCCCTTTGTAAAGGTCTTGCACCAGTCGTGCCTTTTTGCGCTGGCAACCCGGTCCTGCTCACAGGACAGATTGATATACACTGCGTTCAATAATGATACAGCCACCTAAAATTTGTTCGAAAACTTAAAGTTCATAGAGTTTCTGAAAAACTGTCCAGATAGAAAATGTGACAAATTTCATGGCGAGTTCAGATATCAACACAAAAATCCATGTCGAAAACACTAAAAATTTTGTGCTTATTTTTTCAGAAGAGGTCGATTTTCCTATGTTCAAAAATGATACAGCCACCCCGTGTTTCTTCGTTTAAATTCATTTTTGCTTCATGAAAATGATTCGCAGTTATCAGGCTTTCACCTTAATGTTCCCACAAGATAAAAAAGACAGTTTGGTTTTGAAAAAGGTTAGCTGTTGCAAAAAAAAGGACAGGACTCGTCCAAGCAGTCGCTATTTGCGCAAAAATTGAGTCAAAGCTCCAATACGGATAACAATCTTTTCTGGAATCCTGTAGGTTATGGAACAACGAAGAGCTCTGGATGTTCATCATTGCTTTTTGGTCAATTTAAACTTCGCATTTTGGGGAAACATTTCAATTTCATCGAACAGTGCCCGGAATTCCAGTCTTCTTTCAGAATTAAACTTTCAATGGATATTGTTTGGGATGTGTTGAAGATTTTCCGAGGTCATTCCTCAATGGAGAATCAAAGAAACCTTGTTTGTGAAAAGAAATTCTCTCGAAAACTGAGACATTTTTTGCTCGAAAGTGTAGCCACGTCCACTGGAGCAAGATCAGTTCTTTTGTCTGTTATGTCTTACTTTCTGTTTACTTTCTTTTGAGTTTTTCCTTCCTCATTAAGGGTTTTCCCTTTCATTAGACTCCTATGAAGCGAAAAACATTGAGAGAAACGCAGACAGAAAGTAAGACATAACAGACAAAAGAACTGATCTTGCTCCAGTGGACGTGGCCACACTTTCGAGCAAAAAATGTCTCAGTTTTCGAGGGAATTTCTTTTCACAAACAAGGTTTCTTTAATTCTCCATTGAAGAATGACCTCGGAAAATCTTCAACACATCCCAAACAATATCCATTGAAAGTTTAATTCTGAAAGAAGACTGGAATTCCGGGCACTGTTCGATGAAATTGAAATGTTTTCCCCAAAATGCGAAGTTTAACTTGACCAAAAAGCAATGATGAACATCCAGAGCTCTTTCGTTGTTCCATAACCTACAGGATTCCAGAAAAGATTGTTAACCGTATTGGAGCTTTGACTCAATTTTTGCGCAATATGACTGCTTGACGATTCCTGGTCCTTTTTTTCTACAGCTTTACCTTTTTTCAAACCAAACTGTCTTTTTATCTTGTGGGAACATTAAGGTGAAAAGCCTGATAACTGCGAATCATTTTCATGAAGCAAAATGTGAATTTCAACGAAGAAACACGGGGTGGCTGTATCATTTTTGAACATAGGAAAATCGACCTCTTCTGAAAAAATAAGCACAAAATTTTTTAGTGTTTTTAACATGGATTTTTGTGTTGATATCTGAACTCGCCATGAAATTTGTCACACTTTCTATCTGGAACGAGATTTCCAGAAAACTCTTGTGACACATTAATTTCCGAACAAATTTGAGGTGCGCTTACATTATTGAACGCCAGTGTTACAGACCTAATCGGGCGGTGTTTCTTTAAAGCTTCGCATAGAATAAGGAATGTTTCTAGCCAAGTGGGGTAGTGACCTAATCGAGAACGAATAAAAATGAATATACACAAGATCTGAAGGTAGAACACTAAGGCCGCCTTCATAGTTCGCGATTCCGGAGAATAGGATAGTGCGCGACAATGAAAAAAAATATTTATTGACGGGAGATTAGGATAGTGCGGCTGACAAGATTAGATAGATATCGATTGAAATCGCCGGAGAGTAGTAGATTACGATAGCCGTAGTAGTAGGATATAGGATAGTAGTAGATTAGGATAGTGCGCTGACAAGATTAGATATGTATTGATCTATTCGCTTGAAGTCGCCCAATCTACTACTCTCCAGCGATTTCAATCGATACGTATCCAATCTTGTCAGCGCAATCTCCTACTCTACTACTATCCTAATATCCTATCGCCTACTATCCTAATCTCCCGAGTCGCGAACTATGAACGCGGCCTAACAAGTCTTTGTTCGGAATCAAGTTAGGATTATCGACTTCCGATCGACTTTCACTCTAAAAGATATAAGACAGAAAGATCAGAATATAGCCAGGACTCACGTAATAGAAGAGGGCTTTCCCCTAGGCTTCGTTCTAATGGCTCCGCTGTACCTTGTCGACCATATGTTGAGGTGCTGTCTGTTGAACTGAAACAAATGGAGTAATGCTTTCTAGAAAGATGGATAAGATAAGTTCGCCATGTTAAAATAAAGCAATGATAAGCGTTATGGATTAACAGATGTTGAGTTGATCGTTTCTTATTCTGAGGGTATTCTTCAAAGAGAGTTTAGAGGCACCTTCATCAACAATCTGTGTACATATACTTAACCTATCGGTCTAATGCAGTAATTCTGCCCCTTCACAGCGTTCAATTCAATCGAAGGGAATCTGTGTTGAAAGGAATAAGAGTAGAGCCTGTATCGATCAATAGCTTTTCGATCACAAGATCCACTTAAGCCTGCGATGCACCGCTTGAAATTAATTTCATGTGGCGCGCTCTGCCCATGCCGAATAATACGCAACGAAGGAAGCTAAAAAGGAGGCGGCTACACGAAATATTAGGGATGAAAATGTCGTCTAAGAACGATTTTGCATCCACTAGTTGTTCCATTCATAACAATCGATGGCAGCGTACCAACAATGTTATGATCGATTCATTCTCAAACAACAACTGCAGTTTACTGTAGTCTCCATCACGCAGCACAGTGAAATGAAAGAAGAAGATGAGGTTTTCTTTGAGATTATTGTAAAAAAAAACGGTTATTGCTCAGTAAACTTAGCAAATCAAGAGTATATTTGTAAAAATGAAAAAAAATATTGGCAGACACCAAGACCATGCCCTGATATATATTCTCACTATAAAATCGTAAGTGCACATAAATCGTCCAACCGCCCACAAAGAAATTCAATGTGACAAACGTCAGCGAAAAACTGTGAAGGAAGCATTACCTTATACAACAGCACAGTGTCGCCGTATTTGACATTGAAGGCACATTGCAAAGACAAAAACCAAATTCATTTGGAAAGAGAGCAAAGAAAAAAAAACTATAACAAATAACTGTCAACCAGAACCGGATTACCAACATTGTAAAGTGTAGTGAGAACAGCGGTTCGCAGAAAATCGAGACCGCAAGAATGAGGCAGGGATGACAGAGGTGATGAGATAAAGACGAGAGAGAAAACCAGGTATTCGTAAACCTTGCGCTCCATTGCAACTGATGACAGAGAGGAGATCTGAACAGGTTTTTGCCGACAAAGCCCCCTGAAAGTGAAAATCGGCGTGATGCCTGCTCAAGAGATGCCAATAAAACTTTATTAGCCAAGGTTAGGTGCATGTACGCAATCACTTAAACCATTATTGATGGAAAGGAAAGAATGGATCGATGTCGACGTCGCGAAGGCCACTTCTTTCACGCTACTATTAAGTCAGAGGTCGCGGAAAAGAGCAACTGTTATCAAACTAGGAAATGATCGTATACGAACTACATGCTAGATTTGACCTATAAGCGAGTTTGACGCAGTCCTATTCAAAACAAGAAAGAATTGGATGAACGACTGGAGAATGTGAAGCCACTTCTTCAGAGAACCACGTAAATTGCTGCTCCAA